AGGCTTCGCGAGCTTGGACGTGTCTGCGTGCTGCTGGATTGCTCGGGCGGCTTGAATTTGCCACTAGTGCGGCTATTTGACGTCGGGTGGCCAACTTCGCAACCTCGACAAGAAGTGTGAGCCAGGCAAGGTGGCTACACATTGCAATCCGTGGAATAAGTTGAAAAAGGTGCTCCGTCCTGAAAAGAATGGGGTGACCGTCGATTTAAACACGTTTTGCCATCTGTGAGGTTCCCAGCAGTGGGGAGTGGAGACTCCGGCCCCGGGGCGGCGGGGCTCTGCGGGCGGGGGGGCTCGTGAAGGATGTTGTTGGTTGCGCAGCGTTTCGCTCTGCCTGGCTCCAGAAGGTCGAGCCTCGGCGGCTGCGGAACGCGCGACGGATGCACGCTGCCTCGATGCAGCCACGCGCAGAGGGGGGTGGGGGGGAGGGGGAGGGCTTCTTAGGAGCGCCCCTGCTTCTTAGAGGGCGCGGGCCTTGTCTATAGATGCAAGGCCGGCGCCTTCGAAGAAGCAGCTTCCTTCCAAGAAGCCCTCCCCCCCTCCCTCCACCCCTTGAGCGCGCCGCCAATCGATGCAGCCATCAGTGGATTGTTCGATTCAAGATGTAACTCATGTGACTCCGCAGTACTCTCACCCCCCCGGCCCCTTGGCCTCACTCCCGCACATCCACTCCAGTCTGGCTCCATCCTCTCCTCTACCCTCGCCGCATGGAGACGGGGAGGGCACAGGAGGCGAACTAGAAGGAGGGGGAGGAGGGGGACCAGTGAACCCAAGACTCATCAACGAGAAGGGAACAAATCCTCCCTGCAAGCTCCCTCTTCTTAGGCCCCTACAAGGATTCATTTCCACTCGGGGAAGTGCCCCGTTAGGAGGCAACCGTTTGAAGATCCTGGAGCGTGCCGAAACACCATTCTCGGGACTCCAACGCCACGAGTCAACCTGACAGTTGCGTCTTGACGATCCTGAATCGTGCCAAAACACCATTCCTCGGACGCCAACACCGCAAATCAACGCAACCGTTGCGCCCTGACAATTCGAACTCGTTCCGAAAAACACCATCTCTGGTACGTTGACCATTGGAATCCGTGAAACTTTCGCAAATGTTTAGGACGAACGTGCGTGGCGCTGAGGCGAGAGCCACATTTTCAGAACGACCCGCCCTCAATCCATGAAGCTCTGGCATGGCGAGAGCCACATTTTCACAACGACCTGCCCTCAATACGTGAAGCGCGTGCAAAATGTTGAAACGAGTGTGCGCGGTGCTAAGGCGCGGGCCATGCACATAGTGAAAACCACATGTCCTCCATTTGTGAAACTATTGCCAATTTTTAAGCTTCAGGATCATACATGGTACGGAGGAAGTCCCTGGCGAAACGCCCAGGCTGGCCTTCCGACTGGTTTCGGAGTGCGACAAGGAGGAGTTCTTCAGAAGGAATGGAAGGATGATGAAACGGAGGAGCTGGAAGGTAAAGATAGGACAGGGAGAGGGATGATGGATGGACAAGTGTAGGATGATGTTGACGTCGATGGTGATGGTTCCTATGATGATGATGATTATGATGATGATGATGCTGATGCTGATGCTGATGCTGATGATGATGATGATGGTGCTGATGCTGATGCTGATGCCGATGCTGATGCTGCTGCTGATGATGGTGATGCTGCTGCTGGTGATGATGATGATGATCGTGGTGGTGGTGGTGGTGATGATGCTGATGATGATGACGATGCTGATGCTGCTGCTGATGATGATATTGATGTTGATGTTGATGACGATGGCGAAAAGATGATTATGCAGATGATGCTGATGATGATGCGGATGAAGTGGATGATGATGACGACGACGATGCTGATGAACACGATGACGATGATACTGCTGATGATGGAGGTGGTGGTGATGACGAGCACGATCATGTTGATAATGGTAATGATGGTCGTAATTGTGTTGACAATGTTGATGCTGCTGATGGTGGTGATGATGATGATGATGAGATGATTAGCTCATAATGATGGTAGTTGTGAAGACCATGGCGTTGATGACGATTGTTGATGTGTCTCTGCTGCTGCTGCTAATGGCGAATCATCATGGGCCTGGCGTTGACATGATGATTTTTATGACGATGACGCTGATGATGTAAGTGACGTCGGTGGGTGGTCATAGTGAGATTGGCGATGATAGTGATGATGATGGTGATGATGATGCCGTTGGTGATGTTATTGATGATATTGTCGATGATGGGGAAATGGTGGTTGATGGGGTCATTGGACAGGATGATGATGCAAGTGATGATGATTATGATGATGACGATGCTGATGATGATGATGATGATGATGATGATGCTGGTGATGATGCTGGCGATGATGATGATGACGATGGTGATGCTGACGCCGACAACGATGATGGCGCGAATGTTGTTGCTGATGATGATGGCGGCGGTGGTGGTGGTGGTGACGAGTAGCATGATGACGATGATAGGTTGTGGTGGTGGTGTCGTCAATGCTGACGATGACGGTGATGCTGGTGATGATGACGGTGGCGGTAGTTGTGATGACCATGACGTCTATGACAATTGCGGTTATCTTTCTGTTGCTGATGGTCACTATCGCGCCGACCACGATGATGGCGGTGATGCGGATTTGTGTACGGACCATTACTATGATGCTGGTGGGCGATCATGTGAGATTGCGGATGCTGCTGCTGCTGATGATGATGCCAACACGATTGATGATGGTGATGGCGATGACGATGACGATGACGATTACGTTGTTGATGATGTTGATGATGGTGATGGCGATGATGAGAATGTCGATGATGCTCAGGATGATGATGTTGCTGCTGCTGCTGATGATGGTGATGACGATGCTGCTGCTGCTGATGATTTTGCTGCGGCTGCTATTGTTGCTGTTAAGGTCGATATGGGTAATCTTTATACTGATGATGAATTTCTTGAGGTTGATGTTGACTTTACTCTGTTGTTAAGTATAATAACGGGGCAGGGTGATGGTGACGATGTTGTTGACGATGCTGATGATGACGCTGATGATGATGATGATGATGATGATGATGATGATGGTGGTTGTGGTGGTGCTGGTGATGGTGATGGTGATGGCGTTGGCGATGGCGGTGGCGTTGACGACGATTATGATGATTATGATGAGGAGGATGAAGATGATGATGCTCATGATCATGTTGGTGGTGATGGATGATGCTGCTGCTGATGATGATGACGATGATGACGATGAGGATGATGCTTATGATGATGGTGCTGGTGATGATGATGGTGATGATGACGCTGATCATGATGACAATGATGATGATGATGATGATGATGGTGGTTGTGGTGGTGGTGGTGGTGGTGATGGTGGTGGTGATGGTGATGGCGTTGGCGATGGCGATGGCGTTGATGATGACTATGATGATTCTGATGAGGATGATGATGACGAAAATATTGGTGGCGATGGATGATGCTGCTGCTGATGATGATGATGATGACGATGATGACGATGATGCTGATGATGACAATGATGATGATGATGATGATGATGATGATGATGATGATGATGATGATGCTGATGCTGATGCTGATGCGGATGCTGATGCTGATGCTGATGCTGATGATGATGAGTAGGAGGAGGAGAAGAAGTAGGAGGATGAAGTGACGAAACACATAGCTTAGCATGTGTGGTTGCGCACATGGCTCGGAGTCCTTTTCCAGGAGGCCTAAGCCCGCGAGCTCCCAGCTGGGGGCTTGTGGGGGTCTTGCGTGGTGTTATTCGGAGCTTCGTGGCAGGTTTGGAGTGGTCCAGGATATCATATTTTCTCCGGACACCCGTGCAGTGTGCCTCGAAGCTGCCGCATCGCACGAAGTGGAGTTGGCAGAGGGCCTCTCGGAGTCGCAGTTTTGATATGTAGTCACACCTTCTAATAAGGACGCGCGACTTTGCTCAGGGTACCCTTGTGTCCTTGCTCTCCCTTGCTCTTGCCTTCTTGAGGTTTTCGTCGTCCGCCGCCCCAAAAATCTCACCTTCGGCTTCCAAGGGTCTTGCGTCCTTACCGCGCGTCCTTATTCGGGTTTTTGACTGTAGTCCCACTTTTACTTTGAGCGATGTTGTTTAGCTTTTTTTGGTATCCTTCGACGACTTGCGCGCTGCAGCGAAGCGAGGCCAAGCGGGGGTGGCGGCAGAGGTTGAAGGAGGATCACGTATAAGAGGAGGACGATGGTGAGTCTGAGGGAGAGAAGGTGAACAGGGCGAATGTGGACGGGGGGAGGATATGGGAGCAGCAGGAGAAAGTGCAGGAACAGATGCAGGATCAGGAGCGGCAGCAGCAGCAGTAGGTGGAAGATGGGGGAGGAAGCGGAGGCCTGTCATGGAGGAAGGGGCAGGAGGACTGAGGCGCGAGAAGGAGGAGGAGGCGGAGGCGGAGGCGGAGGAGGAGGAGGAGGAGGAGGAGGAGGAGGAAAAGGAGGAGTTCGGTTCGCTCCGCTCCCATTCGCGAACTCCTCGCCTCCACCACGCCATGCTTGCCCCGGTTTTGGGGAAGAACGCGGGTGCGGAGAGTGCACACCGCGAGGTGCCGCTCTCGACGGGCAGGAGCAGCGTGGGAGCGCCTTGCTCTCGTGGCCCCCCCCCTCGGTATCGTTTATCCGGCCCCCATCCCCCTCCTCCTCCTCCTCCTCCTCCTCCTCCTCCTCCTCCTCCTCCTCCTCCTCCTCCTCCTCCTCCTCCTCCTCCCCCTCCTCCCCCTCCTCCTCCTCCTCCTCCTCCTCCTCCTCCTCCTCCTCCTCATCATCATCATCATCATCATGGGCCCATGGAGCGCTGCTCTCGTGGCCCACCCCGTCCCCATCCTCATCCCCTTCGAGGCGCCCCCAAATTAACACCCCAGTTGGGGATGCACCCCTCGAAACCCGAAGGGGACGGCCTCTATCCCCATCCAGGGGGGCCCGGGCCACGCCCCTTGGGATGGGGATCGGATAAACGAGACTCACCCCCGCCAGGTCGGGAGATCGTGACCGTAGCCGTGGCCGGAACGACAGCCCGGGCCGGAAGGTTCTCCGAGTGGGCCAGGACGGGGCGCGGTCGAGAAGGGTCGGGGAGACGTAGGGCTCGAGTGAGCTGGAGCTCGGGCTTGCCGACGTTTTTTAACGAGCGCGTCCTGGATTTTTCTGCACGCACGAAATTGGTACTGAAAGAATTGGTACAATGCCCAACAGCGGATCTAGTTCATTTTGAACAGGGCTCGCTGTCTACGCCGCCGCGGCCTGTGTCCATTCGAGACAGGAGGCCGCCTGCCCAACAGCGGCCGCTGTTGGTTTGGGACAACATTTGCTGTTGGGCATTGTACCCATTCTTTCGGTCCCCATTTCGGGCGTCCAAGATTTTGACGGTCCAGTTTTCGTGGGATGTTTGCTGCGGGAGCTCGCGTCAAATTTCAGATTGGGGCTCGTCTTTTTCACGAGGGTCCCGTCAGGTCAACCCGAGTCCCCCGTACCCGGGTCTTACGTCTCCCCGGAAGGTACGGTGGGGCAGTAGATGGAGAGTATACGCGAACCCTTTCACACTTCGGGGGATTTTGATCAATCCACCTCCCCCGAAACCAGGTGTTGATTTCAGTATGGGTGGTGATTTTCGGGCTCGGGTATTTTTGTGCATTCGAGCCCCCTTCCCCACTGTTGCAGCCTCGACCTTACTTTGGGGGTCCGGGAGGCATCTTGCGCCGCAGGGTTCAGAGGATTCCGCCATTCCGCCGACCGTCGGGCGAAGTGTGGCCTTTGGGCGTCCCCGTGGGCGTCTTGAGGCCTCGTCAGAGTTTTTTGGACGCTTGCTGGGTGTTTTTTGGATGCCGTCGCGCGCGCGCGGGATGCTCGGACGGGGCTAGGACAAAGATTAGTCCGTTCCAGAACGTTACGGAACGCTCTCAGAGCGCTCCGAACGCTCTGAGAAGGCCGCGGCGCCCGAGACATCCTCCAGAGCCGCCAGATCTCAGAGGCTCCCGAGGGCACGGGGAAGTCGGCCACGCGCAGAGGGGGATAGGGTCGGGGGGGAAGGCTTCTTAGAGTCATCCCTGCGTCTTAGAAGGCGCGGGTCTTATCTATGGATGCAAGGCCGGCGCCTTCTAAGAAGCAGCCTCTCGGGAGTCTTGGGACGGGGTTCAATGCAAACCGGGGGTCAGCCAGAGCGCCGAATCTTGCAGCATCCTGGAGAGCCTGGGTTGCACTGCCCCGCAGGATCCTGCAGGATCCTGCAGGATCCTGCAAGGCCCGACTGACCTTCCCCCCATTCCTCGGGGGTGGACAGAAACCCCACCCTCACACGTCGATTACAGTCAACCCGCATAGTAAGGATGGGCAACCTTCCCAAGGGTACCCTTGCATCCTTGCCTCCTCGGTCCATCCTTCGCCGCTTTCGCTGGCCGCGCCCCGCTCGAAAAGCTTCGAAATTGGCGTCCAAGACCCTTGCATCCTTATCGCGCATCCTTACTATACTGGTTCACTGTAGTGAATTGTCCGTTTCCTGGTTCTCGAGAGGGCGCCGCGGCCGTCATTTTCCAGGCTTTCGCCCGCCAGGTTTGGGCCCGAGGTCGCTTTCACTAAACCACGCTTTGCTAAAGGGGGTTCTGTCCATCCCCGAATACCCCCTTCTGCGCGCCGCCATACATGGGATGCCTTCAGGTGTATGGGGCGTCTTTCAGGAGGGAACAAAAGCACACAGACAAATCGTCGACTCCCAGGAAAACATGGGAGAATATGGGAAGTGGGGGCGAAGACGAACATCAACTAGATAGGAGAAAACATAGGGAATCCTGGGATTTGTGTGTATTTCTTTGTGCGGCCCTGGGCCCCTTCAGTCTTGCGCCGCAGGGTTCGAGCTTGCTGCTCGCGCGCGCGGGCGGGCGAGGCCGGGAGGCGACAGGGGTGCGGGTCCCCAAGAAGCCACGGGGGGGGGGCCTTCTCGGAGGCCTCTTCCCGCATGCTGGGGTCCGAGGTGGGGGTGTATCCACAACCGTCGCCTGAGGGGTCGATCTTCGCGGACCTCCGCAGGCGGTGGATATGGATATCTCCTCCTCCTCCTCCTCCTCCTCCTCCTCCTCCTCCTCCTCTGCCCCCCGGGGGCCAGTATATATATGTATATATATATATATATATATCCATATCCACCGCCCGCTGGGGCACCAGGACGTCGGTTCCCAGGCGGTGGATATGGATACATCACCGCCCCGCATGGGGTGTCCATCAAGAGATCCCCCGAGCCCTGCGCAGAAGCCCCCTGCCCTCTCAGAAGGCCCCCTCCCCCCCCCCCCCTCCCCCTCCCCCTTCGCCCCCCTCCGCCCCCCTTCGCCCCCCTTCCCCCCCCCTCCCCTCCCCCCCTTCGCCACCCTTCCCTTCGCCCCTTTGCCCCCCCTTTCGCCTCCGCCCCCCCCCCTGCCCCCACCCCCCCCCCCCCTTCGCCCTCCTCCTCGCCCACCCCCTTCGCCCTCCTCCTCGCCTCTCCTTCGCCCTCCTCCTCGCCCTCCTCCTCGCCCACCCCCTTCGCCCTCGAGCGCGACGGCGAGGAAAGGCGGGAGGACAGAAGGGCGGTGGAGCACGGTGCAGCCGCAGGGAGGCGCGGGGGAGCCGCTCTTCCTCCC